AAGTTCAGAATTGCTAACCATCTGAACTGTCAATACACTGCATGTTAGTTCTTTTCCTCTGGTTTAGTGTCAGACTGTGTACTGCGGAGAGAAGGATTCCCTAAAAATCCTCCAGACTGGATTGTTCAAACATTCATCTTTTTTTAAACATGAAAATTGTACATAAAAAGCCAACATTTTTTCTAGTGGTTATCGGGTAAGTTTAATGTCATTGCAATGTAAAGGCCTCTTATGTTGGTATTGCAACTTTTATTGTTTGCGTTCAAAATATTAATTTATTATCCTTGTATTTTATATAATATATTTTCAGATTACAAAGGCTGCCATTATTTAGGTCTTATAATGTTCTCAATAAACATCTAAGTCTCCATGGGTTCTTATTAGGGATGTAACAATATCCAAATCTGTCAATACGATATTTTCACAAAGTGCATCTCATTGCGATATTTTGGAGAGTCTAAAATTATTGCAGATAGGGCACTTTTTACTTTTAAAATGCCTTGACACGATACTGGTGTGACTTATCACTGTCATAATCTCAAGATTTCAAGCAAAAAACATATTTCTTCATATTGTCTGAGCTGAAATTAATCATGGAAAATGCATTTCCCTATGTTCATAAGCTGTTACTACTATAAAACAATACATTTAAGCAAAGGAACTTGTAATATGATATATTGTGACAGCCCACGATATTATTGTGAGATTTTTGGCGATACGATATCACGATATTTCGGTTACCTTTACATCCCTAGCTCTTATACATTGTAGTTTAGACCACTACAAATATGTTCTCAAAGGATACTAATGTTATTGCTCCTGGACTTACAGAACTGAATCTTGTTTGTATAAAATAAATTGCTAATCTAATGCCAGTTGCAGTACTTTCCAAAACTGACTGTATAGCCTTGCATATTTCAATACAACATTATCAACAGCCAACACAAATGTCCAAATTAGATACATCAGAAATGTGGAACTCGCTTTCTCTAGAAACAATGATGTAATTGAAAAGCTCTGAATCTGAATTCATGACAGGAACAAACTCATGACTGATAAGTTTTGTACGATCACGAGGAGAATGATTGGAAAAGGCGGATCCAGGGTCATACTACAACTAAAAGACTCCCGACTAACTACTTCATCATCTGTGATCCAGCTAAAAAAAAACAACCGTCAAATCTCCACAGTTCTGCCATTTTGAACATTTATCTCAAACAATTACACAAAAAACACTCAGCAACAATAAATTAGTACTTCACCTTGCAATTAATTCTTCCCAAACAAAGGAACAAAAGAGGAAAGCTTGACATGCTACTGCACATAGCAAATGAAATATTAACAGTCAGTAACACGGGAAGCTTAAACTCACCTGCTCCTAGTTGGGAGGTGGGGTGGGGGTGTCAGATAGGTGGACAGGGACCACAGCTGTTGCACCCAACCCCCAGTGCATCCCTGTAAAGCCCCCATTGGGATTAGGGAACACCTGTATGCAGCAAGGTGCACAATAACATATACAGGCCTACAAAAGCCTGGAGTTCTAATGGGGGAGGGTGCTATAGGGAAAGGATCAAAGTGGGGTTAAAGGGGAACTGTCTGTTTCATATGGAAAGGACAAAATCTGGCAAATTGTATATTTTAATATGAATCATGAACCTCAGAAGCAGACTTGGCATGGTATAATAGATGGTGTTCAGAGTTGAGGTTAATAAATTGAAAAAATAAAACACCAAAATACAAAATATTACAAGCAAACTGCAATAGTTTAAGCCCGCATTTTAATTACTACATTTAATGACTAAATTGAGGTGTAACACAGCATTATTTTTCATAGTAGCATATGTTACTGCTTTAAGAAATGCAGGTTGAATTTATGCTTCTCTCAGAGCTGTTAAGGTACGCTAAAAATTTAGCGTAATTTTGTGATTATAGTTTGTGGCATCAAACTGTTAAAGCAAAAAAAGTTGCAAAAACCTGTTTCCGGGTCAACTCAATTTTGTTTCTGTAGCAGTACAAATCTGGCATTTCACCTTTTTGTGTGCAAACCTGTTGTAATGTGCAAATGGTAATATTCACAACATAACAGTTATCCAGGTAAAAGTAAAAATAAAAGTCATGTAGGATGCTGGTGTAAACGGCTCATTTTGCAGCGTGTTAGCCAAGCAGGTGTTCCCATTAGCAACTGACGCTCCGGAGGGGAATAAGAGAGACAAGGGATGAATGGAGGTCGCTAACTGGGAAATTGTGCGTTTGCCCTGTTTTTTGTTTTTTTTTCTTTTTTACTTGTTCTTCTCCGCACATAGAGAGAGCGTGGAAGCCGAGTGTTGTTTTGCATAAACAAACTCCTGTGAGGGGGTAGAAGAGTACAGCAGTCCTAACCTGCTGCTGCTACCACACAGAGCAGCCCACAGCCAGCACCCGAGCAGCTACACAACGCCTACACGCACACAGGCCAGAGCCGAGCAGGACTTCAGAGGTTAGCGCCAACATGACTTAACTGACCACAAAAAGTTAGAATCTGCTGTTGCGAACTTTAAAGAACATGAGTAACTGTCTGAGTTTTGTCCACCTTTTAGACCTGCTGTAATAACTGTACAAAATGGTGTCAATATGAACATTAGAGCAGTTTTAAGATCTTTTCAAAATGATCCCCATTAATGACGATACTAAAAAAATCACAAATGTTTACGCAAAAAACATACATTAAGTTCACAATAATAGAAGCGACTACACAGGACAATATCCGTTTGAACTGACGAAGTTTGACTTTGAAAATTTAAAAGGCAAATTTCACTTGCTTTTATAGAGCCCTTGTTTAATCAACGTTCAAAGACCCATTCATGAGATATCACAAGTGGAAAGTGCTTAAAGCTCTCCTGTTTTTTGCGATCGGGCCAAAGCGTATACACCTAATATTTTTCCATCTCTCGCCCACACACCTCCTCCACTCCTCCTTGGAGCAGCTCTGTTCTCCACCTCACAGATGGAGGAGTCCAATAAGCATTACAGGCTGGTGTCCACTATGCTTCTTCTTAGAATATTGGGTAAAACAGAAAGGCCTGACCCCGTACTCACCTACAACCCACCACCACCACCAAGGGGAAGGTACATCCAGGCTTTTGGGGCAAGGGGAGGATAGCTCAAATGACAATACAATACAACTGAGGCATAAACTATTACAAATGCTATTTTATTTTTTTGTAATCTATGTATGAGCTTTGATATAAATATTATTACTTTTAAAAATTACTTTTACTTATTATATAAAATGCTAAAATAATGTTTGTAAGGAAATGCAAATAGAAATTTGAACACCAGAGTGAAATTTAGAAAACAATGTTACTGTAGCCTCATTTTAATAAGGCGTTCATCTGAATATTTAAGATTGTTTAACCAGATTGTCGCAGCACTTTATGTCTAATTTGATTTCATAAAATGTACATGTTTATGGTGTCCTGGCATTCACTGGAGTATTTAATATATACACTGACATTGTATGTGTTTATTTTAGTTTATACTGTGGGATAAAATGGTGTCAGCGTGCAGGTTCAACACTGCTAAATGTCAGTGGATAACACACGTTTATAAAAGAGCATTTGGAAAAAAGACTACATGTTTAATCCTAGAAAATCCCGTTACAGGCGGGTAAACAGTAGGCCCTACTAGTTTGTCTGCTCCACTGTCCAATGTGCGTTAAGCTCACTAATAGTATAAAGTCTCTAAGTTCATAAACAATTAAGTAGATTATGTGGAGGAAGCATTCAGATGGTCCATATGCAGCTCCATCCGGAAAAGTGACACTCACACAACCCATATAAGCCCGTGTTGTGCAGGGCTAAGTTCGACAAGTAAATAGAAGTTACAGATAATGAACATGTCTGGGTGTGGTGTTAGACATGTATGATTATTTCAATGTTATTTGTGCTGTACCTGGTAATAGTCTAAGCAGCTCCCAGGTGCATATATACAGCTATGTCAATTACAATTAGTCTGCTATGAAGTAAAATGGTGGTTTTACTTTACTTTCAGTGGTGACAGGGGAGATATAAAGGCTCAAGGCGCTATAGAGGACACCCTGTTAACTTATGGTCAGATGATCAACAGTGAAACAGCAACAATTACCAACCAAAATACGCGTGATCCGAAATCCCCCCGTGTCTTGTCTCTTACACTAAGGGTGGGTGTTGACGCAGCAGAAATTTCCAGCTGGAGAAATCCCCGTTTTGGAGGTTAATCTAGGGGAGAACCGGGAGGAAGAGGAGCGTTTAAACCCGTCTGGTCTTGCGCCTTTCATTTTGAATCTCCACAACACCAGACGGTTGCATCACAGTCACTACTTGCGGATCCAAAAATTACATTCCTTGTAATTGTCTGTCTAAGAAACTTTCACACACCACAAAGTTCAAACCGGTAGACGCACAAATGCCACATAATATCTTTCAATAAATTCCTAGTGTTATTATAAACCTGATCATTCCTTTCTCCTAGACTTGAACGCGTTGTTAGAGATGTATTTTCCACTGTCTGTACATATAACATAACGTTGTCAAACATGCACAGAGTGGATCTCGTCAACAAATGACAGCTTCTTGCAGTATCAACAGGCGCAACAGACGGCTGCCTGTCACGTATGGAACAGGTAGGCGGACTTTCTGACTGCCGCTCGCTTCTAGATCGCTGTCGGGGTCTATACTCGCGCTGTGGCTAACGCGATGTCATCGGGTCTGCAGTTTAAAAAAAAAAAAAAAAACAAGCACACAGACAGACGGATCGCCAGACAGGCCTTTCTTTACAGTACAAGTGTTACGCCAAGAGTTGCATTGTGTCATGTCTCCTTCGCCCCCACTAACTATGAGCCGTACGCACCGACACCAAACTAATTGTTGACATAACGCCAAAGCCAAAAAGTGGTGCCGTAAATGAGCGAATGAACCTGTTAGCAGCAGGAAGCGGTGAGTGGGAACATTACAAAGAGGCTAATACTAGGAAGTGAGACGTACCTGTTACCCCATGGGGTCTGGGGTGGACGCGCAGAGTCCAATGAGCCGTGACAGCAGACGACAAGACGCGAGAGCTGGCCCCGAAAGCTCGAAAAGGTAAGTGTCCGTGCTCTCCTCGGTGCCGTGTGCTTTCTTCAAGTCTTATTCCCCTGTTTTCACCCACTCCCCAGCCTCCCCCTTTCTCCTCTTCTTCTTTCTCTCTTTCCCTCCCCTGCTTTTCCGTGTCTTGGTATCAGGAGCCTATCCCCCTCCTCCTCCTCTGCGCGCGCGTGTCTCTACGTCTCTCTCTCCCCCCTATCTCGCTGGAGCTCGCTCTACCCTCCTTTTACACATGCCGTGTCCCCGTATCTCCCCTCAGTCTCTCTAGGCACGGCCAGGAAATGAGGCATCCACCTGATCTGCAGCTCGCCAGGAACCCCCCTTAACACTTTTACGCATGTTACGCACGCCTTATTGACAATCCATCACCAGTTCACAACCACTCAGTTTAAAAGGAGTTGTCATTAGTTGTTGCCTCCTGTTGTCTACCAATGATTGACCAGGGCACGTTGTAACTTACCCCCTCTTGTGGCAACTATAAGAAACCACCAGTGGCGTTTGGGCAGTTTGACACGGTTTGACTGGAAAACACCTCTGCAGAAAACCATGTGATGCGCATCAAGTGGGACAGTTTGCTAATTCTGAAAACGACTGGGGTAATTCCACAGTAGCATAACCACTACCATTAACCACGGATTAGTGTGACTTTATGGGAAAACAAGGGAAGACATTGTTAGGCCTTATTATTTCTTGGATTGAGTTGAGGAAACAAAAAACAGTATACAAGGCCACACTGAAAATAATTCTTGTGGGTGTTATTTTTCATAAAACTATTCATAAAGATGATTCCATGTTTATAAGTAAGTTCATATGCATTGACATTAACACATTTGTAGTTAGTTAAAAGTGAAATACTGAATGTGTCCATCTTGTGAAAGCTTAGTGGTTCCATAACAAATTAAAACTTTCAGGGAAATGCATACTTTCATAAGAGGAACTGTAAATGTAAAAGGGAAAAAGATATATATCTCTACACATGATAGGATTGGTTTAAATGTAGGAAGTAGGAGACCTTTAAGGGGAAGTGTCGTCGCTGTACAGTGATGTAATAATAGACCAAGAGAATGAGTGAAGTGTGGCATGACACAGCAGTAGCCTCGTCAGTCTGGAGCACAGCAAAGACTGGATAAGAGAGACTAGCCCTAAGGATTAGGGCAGCGGGTCTGTAATACCACATCTCTCTCTTTCTCTCCTTTCCTCTCTCTCTCTCTCTCCCTCTCTGTCTTACTGTCCAGTCCGCAAACTCAATCCCACCAAGCTGCTTTACTCAGGGTCGTCCTTCCTCACGCTAGTCGTTCCAACAATCTGTCCCGACATGAAAAGCTCCGGACCCCTGGCCTCCCCTGGCTTCCCCTGGGCTGTGTTCTCCCCTCTCCGCTCTCCGGACCGCTCTCTGGTGGTGGATGGCTTTATGCATCATTAGGCCACTTACAAATGTGATCAGTCTTCAAGGCAATCCAGCTGGAGCAATGGAGTAGAGCAGGAAGGCGAGGGATATCAGGAGCACTCAGTGATTGTAGTGTGTAGTACTTCAGTCCATTCAAAATATGTTGATGAGTGAGTTATGGGCGTTGCATTAGAATAAGCAGGTCTACTAAAATCTCACAAATGCAAAATAATTATAAGTGTAATATAGTTTTATTAAAAAAGAGAGAGAGAAGGAGAGAGAGCATCGAAAGATTAACAAGTACTTCAGCATTGAAAAATTAAGAAGTACTTTTTACATCTGTTTCAGATCAGAGGTTGCAAGCATTACCCCGTATCAGATTATATTGGGTTTAAATCAAGTTTGAGTAAATGAAAGTTGTATGTTGCCAGTAAACCACTCATGTAGGCAGGTATCCACCACCTAGTGCCTCTGCTCAGTTTCATTTCTCTCCAGCAACTAGGTCAGGAATCGGAATACGCTAGATGGTTCGCAAAAACCCCGGAAGTGTGAGTTCGGGCACCAGCCAATCAGCGAAAAGCCATACATTTTGTGTTGGCAAAGATTCCTGAGATCGAGGATTTAAAGCCGGAACAAAGAAAATGTTTGGTGAATTTTATCAAGGGGAAAGACGTTATTGCCCTTCTTCCTATGGGATTTGGAAAAAGCTTAAAACATACTTCACGACCAAATGGCAACGATTGGTTAAATGGAAAAAGTACCCTCCTACCGTCAAGTGAACGAATTCTAACGCTGCAAAGTCAGACGGTTTCTAAGAAGTGAAACCAGCTGATGTATCAGGCTACCATTCATGGGCCAGCTACCATCAAAAGTTCTTGTGGTAGAGTATTGAAGTATACATATAGTCATGATGTGATTTTACTAAATTAAGTTTTTAAGTAGCAGGGAAATATTGAAAAAACACTTCCAAAGGTACACAATAGTTATCACAAAAGGGCCAGCCACATATTGTCAACTCACATTTAAACTCAAACAAGATTTCTTTCATTCACTTTCTTGATGTGACCCCCTGCTGCGATGTGCTGCAACATAATTGGTCACATTGAGTTAAACAGTGCAAAAATCTACTAGAACTGTCATAAAAATAGCACAGAGACCTTTTCCATCCTCTACCTTTCACTATCTATTTAGCGAGGGGAACAGCTGTGGTTGCCATCCGTAGCCCCTTTGCTTGTACAGAGAGCGCAGCCCGCGGCTCCCAGCACTATCTCCACCAGGTGCAGGCTGGGAACAGGGGGAGGAAGCACAAAGGAATATTTGGCACGAGGTGTAAGGCAACAATACGTGGTAAGGTGCAGCTTAGTGATACTCAAATCAGGTACTGGTAAGTGACAAGCAGTTCTAGTTCTTAGACAAAGCAAAGAAATTAGTAGAATGGTACAGGGGTCTACTGATGACAAGTACAGAGGAAATAGGAATAGTTGAGGATGCTATTGAAAGAAAGGAAGCCAAGTTCTCAGAATACGTGAATGGCGCTAACGACAGTGGGAGAAGCAGAGAGAATCGGGGTTATTGGATTTAAGGCGGTGGAGGATGGAGTGTTTGTGCGTGCTGCCCACACATTTTGTTCCTGTGTGAAACGACATGGCGCAGGAGGAGAGAGAGAGAGAGGGGGGGGCTGTCCTTGTGTCACCCAGGGCTGCTCTCCCTGTCCAAGAGCAGGTCTGTGCTGTAATTGTATGCACAGTGTATGATGGGTAAACTACTGTAAGGTTTTGTGTAGAGACATCGTGTATTCTCTACGCTTAAATGACTTTCTTGTATCACCTGTTGCCTCCTCACTGTTCCTTCGACCTTCAAGATGTTCTAACCTCTTTTGTTTAACTTTTACATTTTGGTCAATGTTGTCAAATCCTATTGATTACCTACTTTTTCTGTTGTTACACCTGCATTATTATTTTTATTATTCAGAGTTCCCATGGAAATCCTGGAAAAGTCATGGAATTTTTGTATCTCTTTCACGGAACTACAGTGCTCTGTTAAGTTATCAATAGGCTATTATGGTTTTTTCTGTAAGTATGCGCCTTTTGTTTAAAAGAGATGACAATAAATGCACTGACAGTATTTTGAATGTTAAAAAACTATAATACCAAACCATAAGGTGAGTGGGAAGGGTTAACATTTCTAATTTTGCCCTAAAAGTACAATCAATTCTACACATGTAGGGTGCTGTAAAGTCATAGAAAATTCACTTTAGGTTATGAAAAAGTCATGTTAAACTTTTGAAAGTTTGTCCCTGAAAAAGAGTGGGAATCTTGTACATTACACTAAATGAACTCTTATGAGCTTTAAACCATATGTGAATGAAACAAAACAACGTCTGTTTGTGATGAGGAAACAACATTATAACATTGATCAGAATATAATGTAATCTAGGCCTTTGGATTGTTTTGCTGTTTTACCTATAGTAGGTTTATTATGCTAAAGGCACAGTATGCTATAGTCTTCAACTGAAATCATGCCCATTGAATAGAGTGAGATTTTGTGCCAGTGTTGTGATGTTAATATTTTCCTAGCTAACAATACTATTGCCACTTGGCTACTTGCCTTGAAATGAAGCCAGTGCTGTAGTTTGTCTTCCAAATCAAACAAACCAGAACTTACAATAACCAATGGTGTGAACAATGCTTTTGATAACTCCGATCTCTGTGTATCCAACTCTGCTATTAAATGTTTTGAAAGGGAGTGATTTCTTTCCCAACTGGCATAATGCAAACAATATTTTCATTTATACTCTTGATTCATTTGACTTGAGGGAGAATGGAGGTCTTGCATGGTTCATGATATCAGTATGTTAAAGTCTAAACTGGAGTCTTCACGTTGCGTCTGACTATCTGTCTTTGGGCTCGTCTACCCTCTTGATCCTGTCCTCCTCTCTGCCTCCAAATCTCATTTACTCCATTGGAAGTCGTAGGAGAGGAGTGCACACAGAACGACCTTCTCTTCCCCGAAGCAAGAACATCTCCTTATTGTGGAGGTCACTGTCTCTGGTGCAGCCTCTGAACACTACACTGCTTGTTTTAATGATGCACCGAAGAGGAGGGGGTGGGGGCGAGAGGCGTAGACGGACAACAGAGTGGGAGAGAGCAAGAGAGAGAGAGATGGGGAGGTTCGGGTTATTTTTTTCCAGCAATTCACCCCCACCTCCTCCTACCATCGCCTCCCATTCTCCAAGCTGAAAGTGCGCCTCTCTCTCCACATCCATCTTGAAAGGTTCTTCTAAGCTGTCTAACCTCTCAGCTATATTATATATTATTGCTTTGCCTCAACCCACACTGAAACCTGGGTTGCTATGCTACAATAATATGACCTCTCCTCTCATATCCTCCCCTGCGTTTCCTCTCCTCTCTCCTCCACATTCGTGCATGCAGCAGAGGAAAGGGTTAACAGCTCTCCCCCATCAGCCCTCTGTGCCTCTAATGACCTTCTCGGGCCTTAATGCTGCTGTTTTCTTGACCCCGGCAACCACATGAGGTCATGACCCCATTCTGCAAGGCAACAAATTATGGGAAGGCGAGATCTATATTCATGAGCCACCTTTGTAATTATGTACAGTAAGCACTGAGTATATGTATGGACTTCTCACTTTGACATGTCCTTTTGGGTATATTCTTTCAGTGACAGATTACTTAACTGGAGTCAATAAACAACTTTTGCTATTTGTTTTTCTTTTTTGTAACTCACAGACATGTGGCTGCCATACTGTGCCAATCCCTCACCAAACTCCAAGGACATAGGTTTGCATAGGGACAGTGGGGACATGTCACAACCAATATTTGGGGAAGACAAAATAGTCCCTACCAATATTATTTTACTAAATTATTTATTTTAATAAACAAAAATATACATTTATTCCAATACTTTTCCAAACTGGGGAAGTGGCAGGACAGCACCCGAAGATGGCAGTTTGAGCAGGCATGAGTGAAGATGCTTGCGCACCAAACATTGAAAAACTTTTCAAAAGAAACTTACTTGACTTTATCTTCAATTAAACTTGCCTTATAATGAGTCACAGCAGAAAAAGAGCAACTATCGCCACGAGTGCACCTCCCAAATGGAGCCCTACACGTGCGCTGTAAGTAGCCCGACTCTGCTGAGAATATTCGATGGAAAAATGTACGGACATTACCTCACAAATATCTCATCACCATCAAGCAAAGGGAAATCTGCTACAAACTTCTACATCGCTGTTATCCGGTAAAGAATCATCTTAGAAGGGCAATGGACACAAACTGGAAAATGAAACCACTTCTCAGTTGTTTTGGACCTGCCCAGACTCTGTATGTTTTTAGAAAAAAATCATAAAACATATATGCAACTTCTTATCCCATTTCACCCTTTCTTATAATGATGTGCTGTTTTGTTTTTGCAGTGTGCATCATATGAAAAGTGAACAATATTATATAATTCAACTGTTAATCAAGTACCCTATCAGTTGGTTTCATGGGGGGGTTAGCTGATAATGTTACCACCAAAGCTGAGATCAAACCTACACCCTTGCCAAACATACACTAGTCCAAGGCAAGTTGTGCTCAAGGACTCAGTAGCAATATAAAATGTAAGAGAAGGAATTTAAAACTTTTTATTTCATGAATGTCCAACTTTCTACATTCACAGTAAAACCTTTGATTAGAGGAACAAGGGTATAGGCAACATTTGGTCCGTCAGTCTAAAAGAAGATCTGAAGATCGAGTTGCTAATGTGTGAGGTACAAGATAATGAATTCAGTCGATAAAGGCCCGGATTGTAGCAGACTTTACAAAACTTAAGAAAAGCCACCGACCCTAGTCTAAGGTAAATCACAATACACATCCAAAATTCCTTGTTACATCATCCGTCTCCAATCCCCTTCCTCCTCTTCCTCCTCCTCACTCCTTTCTCTCCCTCTTCTCTGCCTTATCTCCCCTGGCCCCGTCTCTTGGGGGTCGTTCGTTTTTGTCATAATCACCTCCGAGATTGG